AAACGCAACACATAATTTCTCCCCCTTTTTTGTCTATACATAATCTTTCTTTATATGGCCTTCATCTTATTTGATTTCAGGATCTCTCAATCTTCCTAAAGATTTTACAGTTCCGAAAGACCTTCACATGAAAATCTAGACATCTAACTCTACACATTGGATACATTTCTCATCAAAACTTGAATTTTTGGTCTTATATATTCTTTTGTCCCGGAATTATTATTTAATTTAATTTTTTATTTTTAGTTTAAATTGTACTAAAAGTGAAACTTTAAAATAGATAATAATTTTGAGATGGAAAGAGCGACAATATACTACTACTATTTATGTGTAAACTCGGAACAATTTGAAGAATTAACTTTTATTAATTCTATTTCCATTTCAATTTCGAAAGTACTTCTGGGAAAATCTGACATCTTTCTCTACATCTTGAAGAATTACCAGCAGATTATGTTTTACTTCGAAGTTCGAACATTGTGAATTTGCGTACATTTTATTTGTTTATTATTTGCTTTGCTTAGTTCTGGCCTTTTAGGAGGAAAAGAAATCATGATGTTTCATTAAGTTGCTCAATTTCTTGAGTTTTGATATCCAACTAATTGTACCTAATTGATTTCTTCTTTCAACTAAAGATAGTACTGCATTTATTAGTGCTCTAAAGAATTCTCAAACTTGGTTTTTCCATCTCCAGTTTGTAATAATCGAATCAAGCTTTGCACGATATTGTCAATTAATTATTTCATCAAGTTCCTGTTGAATTTAAATAAGATAAAATTACTTGCTAATTGTTATAGTCGTTGCCCGTTGACAAGGTATCAATTTTCGACACGACAACATGATTTACAGAGACAATCCGAGACGATACGACACGATTAACCCGATTTGAGTTTTTATCACATTTTTTACTTCAAAAAAAATCTATTAATCACGTAAAATATATAACACGAAATTGACCCGATAATTCAAATTGACACCCCTGTCTGTTGGTCACCGTGGCATTCCAAAAATGTCCTCGGGTGAAGGTTTGATTTCCAAATTAATATTTGAATTAGCTGATGAATGCTGTCAAGGAGTACAAATGGTAGAGACAAATTACTAAAATTAATTGAGTTTTTGCACATTTTGTAGATATTGTTTTGGTTGACCATATTTTTTCATCAAGATTTTTTTTTCTCTTTTCATTTTCCTTTTATTGTTCACATCAAACTTTGAACCCCTTGTTCTTTGTAAATACTATTGGAAAACAAAAACTGATTAAGTGTTAAGTTACACTCCTTAGTTAACATGCATAACAACTGATAATGTGAAAAGATTGGATGAAATAGTTCGAATCCAACGGAAAATTGTAAGTTGAGAACAAAAAGTTCGTCAAAGTAATTTAAGGTTGAAAGAAAGAAAGAATAAAAAGGATACAGATGGTCGACAACTCTGCATAGAATAAAGGGTTAATATCAAAAACACCCCCGAGGTTTAATCGATCATCTAAAATACCCTCACCTTTTGGATATATATATATATATATATATATATAAAAAAAAACGTCCCTTGACCAGTTGGCCTTAAGAGTCTAACGGTGACTTGACTGAAATTCTTAAAAAACCAAATCAGTTCCGGCCAATCATTTACTAAATAATTAAATAAAATTAATTATTTTAAAAGCCTAACAAAAAACCTTCCTAACATTTGTCTCTCCTCCTCCCTTACCAAAATGGTCGCCCCGCTTCTCCCTCTTTCTTCCTCTTCTATCGAATTCACCTCCAATCCACCATCTCCTCCAATTCTAAGCCTAACTCTCACCATAATTCGAATTCAAAGAAATAAATCCTTAAATTTTCAGTTTCTTCTCCGCCGCTGCCGTCAGTTTAGGTTTTATATTGGATGAGTTCAGGATTTTAACTTATTAGGTTCTTGATTTATTATTATATTGAAGTAGATCTGTTAGATTTGTTTTGAGTGGAGGTGGATGGGTTAGAGATGACATTTGCAGATACTGGCGCTCAAGATGAGATCAAGGAGTCTCTTCAAGATCTTGTAATCCTTCGTCTCCGAAGACCATATCTATTTCAAGGGGGTTTTTTAAGCCTTATAGAGGTTTGCTGCTCTTTGGGCCTTCTGGCACTGGGAAAACAATGCTGGCCAAGGCAATTGCTAACAGAGTTGGGGCAAGCTTTATAAATGTGTCTACAATAACTTTAAAATACTCTGGGGATGATGAAAAAAAATGTCAAAGCTCTCCAACAATAATTTTGTGGATGAGGTCGATAGCATATTTGGCCATAGAACTAGAGTTGGGGAGCATGAAGTTGTGCAGAAAAATGAAGAATGAATTGATGAGTCATTGGGATGGCCTATTAACGAAGCCTGGTGAAAGAATGAATTCATGTTTTTCTCACCTTTTAATCTTTGGCCAGATTAGTTCTTTTTTTTTTTTTTTTTTGATAATTCTATATCTAGAGATCTCTTTTGAATGTATGGATGAATTTAACTGATGTTGGTGGTGATGATTGATACGGATTTTTGAGATAAATAAAAAAATTAGAAAATGAGAATTTTATTATAAATTAAAAAAAATTCATGAAAGGTTTATTTGGGGTAATATTGACTTTAGAGGACATAAACGTCTTTCAATTTCGTTTTTGGCTAATCTCATATGCTTACGTCACATTCCCGACGCCGGAGGACTGTTTTGATAGTTGACGCGCCGGTCAATGGATGTTTTTGATATATATCCAAAAGGTGATGGTGTTTTAGATAATCGATTAAACCTCAGGGGTGTTTTTGATATTAAACCTAGAATAATAAATCGATGATGAATTGATGTACTGCTCCTGAAGTCAACTCAAAAGTTATATCACAAGTTAATATGACAAAAAAATAGTAAATCCACAATTAAAGCCCTAAGTAACACTTGATGATTAATCAGGGTATCAACACGATCAATAATTAATCAAAATATCAAATGGCTTCATCCAAAACTTTTGCTTTTCAAGGTTTTTTTTTGTCAAGAGATAACTTTATTTATCATTATAGAAGTTATCTTTGTACTTCAACTAGTAAAAAAAAAATACTAATTTTAGGTAGACAAAAATTGTCGGATTAATCACCAAACCGGCCCCTTTCATTATCAAGTGATTATTATTATTATTATCAATAACTTCTTTTCACTATCCACTAGAATTAATTAGCAAGATGCAAGTAACTTCCTTTGGTTATTAATTAATTAATTATGTCCGATTATTGTTCATTTTATTTTTTATATAAAAAATTTCGATTCGTGTGAATGAGGTGGATCCCTATCATCCCACTGGAGAGGATTTCTGAAAAGAGTAGAAATTGTATGGAAAATCAATTTATGTGTTTTCAGAGTTCATTTTTTCCACATAATATATATTCTTTTTTGGAGTGTTATACCCTTATTTGACCCCTTTCCACAAGACCTATTCAAACAAATTAGCAATTCATTTATCACTATGCGGTACATGTCAAAATCAAGAGATAATAAAATTATCGAAGTACCAAGACAGAGAAATGTCATTTTCTCATTTTTTGATATTGTAGTTACAACTTTGAGAGATTATAATAGTGTCTGCAATTTAGCGTAAATGAAAACAAAAAATTGTAGTCAGACGTTGAATTCTTGGTATATACAAGAAATAGGAAGAAGAGTTTGTTATACTTTCTTGGAGAATCATCATGGTGAAGACATTTTATTATTCCCTTCCCGAAATTATTATCCGTTTTGATTTTAATTTTTAATTTAATTGTGTTCAAAATGAAAATTTAAATTATATAATAATTTTAGAGTAGAAGGAGTATATATTTTTTTAATGTAAGAATGAGATAATTAAATAAGACCACTGTCATGACAGTACTCTTTATGCTCCTCTTTATTTTAATGCAATATATATATATATATATATAAATTATATAAACGAATCATGATAACAAGAATTTATTTATAAATTTTTTGCGTCCCTACATTATTTACCGAACTTAATTTTATTGAATCAGGCAAATAATTACTCCATATAAACATGGTACATAAAACTCCTACCTTAGAGTTATGATGCTACCGAAAGAAAATACTAATAATAAATAAAACCCTTCTGCCTGGATGTTGGACGTGACGCAAAAAAATTTGTCTCTTTCAAAAAAGAAAAAAAAAATTGTCAAATTTCGTCTTTAATTACGCGGACTGGACATCTTTAGATAATAATTATATCCTTATTTACACTTTTTTTTCCTTTTTCAGATTTCTATAGGATTAAAACACCTAGTATTTACGATTTCACACTTAAATTGAAATACTTTATTCACAAGTAGTAACATAATAAATACAACGCGTGATAGATATGGGAAAATATATATATATCAAAATAGCAGTAATAAAGGAAAAATTTCTCAGTCATTGTCTTTTCTTTTTTTACTAAGCATTAAATTCGCATAATCTATAATAAAAGAAATAAATGGCAATGCTCCTATATAATATATTGAGATTGCTTTCAGATTCACGCAATCATAATAATTTAAACAAATCAAGTACTAATCTAAACTATTTAATTATCAATAATCTGATACCACTATTCATCAATTAATTACCACTTCTTGTAAAATTCCAAGAAAGATCACAGTCTTTAACCCTAAATTATTTCGGGATTTCCCTTAAAAAAAATATTTATTACAATCTGTTGGGAAAGTTGGGAAATATTTTTTTTGGGAAAAAGGAAAGTCAAAACCATGCCTTTCTTTATCAGTTTATCTCCCTCTCTTATCAGCGCATTAAAAAAACCGAATCGAATTCGAGATTTTCGATATTCGTGACAGACTCTCTTTCGGGGTCACAGTGCCCGTCTAAGTCGGACACGTGTAATAACGAAGGTAAGTTATGTGAGGATTACAGGCTGTCACTTTAGTAAAAATTCCTTCTTTTTTACCTTAACATTTACGACTAGGAGTTCTATAAAAACCTCCCGAGTCCCCAACTTTTTATTACTGTCATCATTAAATTCATCACAAAATCTAGCAGCCAAAAAAAAGGGATTAACAATTGACGGCGAGAATGAAATCCACGCGCTGCTGCTCTCAGTGCGGCAGCCATGGACACAACTCTCGTACCTGCCGAATTCCGCCGTCAAACGGTGGCGGAAGCGGCGGCGGTATCATGCTGTTTGGGGTGAGGCTGACTGAGGACCCGATGAGAAAGAGTGTGAGTATGGGCAACCTGGACCAGTATGCACACGCAAGCGACGTGGCTAAGCGTGATTCCGTTCAGGATAAGGTCGTCGCCGATGACGCCGGATATGCTTCCGCTGATGACGCCGACCACCGGTCGTCTGGCTCCCGGGCGCGCAAGCGAGGTTTGATCACTGGTGTTTGGTGTTTTTTTAATTTAAAATTTGCTTCTTTATCAACTTTTTTCTTTTGAATTATTGAAAAAAATATTGGGTTTAATACACACTCCTGTAATATTACAGTATTGAATTGGTATAATAAGGCTGATGTGTGTGTTTGGATTATCAAACAAACTTGTGTTTTTTTTCTCATCCAAAAATGTATATTCAATCATCTGTAATATATGGAAAGGAACAAGATAAAATTTCACAATCATGTGATGACTGGATGCACCAGGGGTTTGGATTTGAGGGAATTTGATTGATTTGGTTTCAATTTCTTGTTTATTTTTGGTGTTAAATATTTGGATTTGATTTCCTGATACTAACAGGAGTTCCATGGACTGAAGAGGAGCACAAGTTGTTCTTGATGGGGTTGGAGAAATTTGGCAGGGGAAATTGGAGGGGGATTTCCAGAAATTGTGTTAAGACCCGAACGCCAACGCAAGTAGCAAGCCATGCTCAAAAGTATTACAACCGGATTAGCAACCAAAATACTGGACGTCGTCGCCGAACCAGCCTTTTTGACATTACTGCTGACCCTGTAAGCTTATTTCGCCTTTGATAGCTTTCTAATGCTTGAAAACTCTGTTTGTCAAAGTTTGAGGAAAAAAAAAAAAAAAAATCCTATATGCAATGTGTTTTGTTTTGTATGCTTGGTGCGAAGGGTGACTGATTAGTTACTTGGTGTTCTACTTCTTTCAAGTTGGACTTAATTGTCAGTAATTTTATTTTTAACAGTTCCATCTTTGTTTTCCTCTGGAGAAATATGAATATGAACCTTTGTGTGTGTTCTGATTGTAATGACATTTATAGGATGATTGGATATGAATTTTGTTGGAAAGGCAAAATTTTGATAATGCTTTTGACAAGATATCAGGCATATGTATTTAATTGTAATAAATTGAACAAATGCCTACACTCATTTGTTTTGTTGCACTTGAAGGCAAATGATTGAAGTAAATTGGTGTTTTAGCTTTTGTAGATTTCATGTTGTGAATTATTATTCTGATTGAAGTAAATTGGTGTTTTAGCTTTTGTAGATTTCTTCTTGTGAATGATTTTGACGTCCACATAACTTTTGATTTGGGAAAGTATTTGTTTTGCATGAAAAGTATAGGATTTTAAGTTTGGTTAACGAAATTTTGTCTATCATTGTTCGCTTCCAATTTATACAGGATTTGTAATGTTAGTTTTTATTTTCTACTGATGCTTAGGCGCCTGGGAACCCATCAGAAGAGTCTACAGATCATCAAGATGGTACATCAAAGGCAATTGTGCCCACGACTTCATTGCCTCATGCAGAAAGTTCTGGAGTGAACGGATATGCAGTTGCTCCATTTTCAGTCACAGTTCCTTATTTTGTGCCAGTTCAGGTCCAGCGCTCCATGGCTAATGTACCTGTTTACCAGAGTAACAGTTATAGTTATGCTCCAGCTGCCTTTCTTCAGCCAGTTCCTGTTCCTGTTGTCGCAGCTCCTAATGCATCCTCATCAGTTCTTAACTTAAACGATCGCGTGGGAGCTGAGCCATCACCATTGTCTTGGAAGTTGTCATTGTCGTCGCCGCCCCAATCACCAAGGTGGTATCCAGTTCCTAGGTCTCCAAACTTCAATGGTGGAAATGGCTTTGTTACTGTGGCTTGATATCGAGCTGCGCATACTCTAGGGATGTGAATGACAAGTACAGAATAAAGAAAGAGTATTTGCCCTCTATGTAGGGTAAAGAGATAGATTATCTTAGGAAAGTTTTGAATTAGGAAGAAAGAAAAAATAGGATCACTGTGACTAGCTCATTCATCTTTTGACTGGTTTTTTGGTTAAATCAATTAGATTTTTGTTTAATTTCCTTGACTTTTATTGGTAGCTTGGGTATATATATTTCTATCTTGGTGAGGCTGGAAAATGTTTATTCAGATAAGAGAATACTTGCCTGCTGAGGATAGTGGAATTGAATTTCTAGGTATCCTCTTTTTCTGCAGGAATGTTTTTATGTATGTTAGTGAGAAGTGAGAAACCTAAGGCTGATGGACCTCTGGCGACGCCGAGATTTGCTAACCTCTCAGTTGGCTGAAAACATAACCTTAGGTTAACGGGGAGCCTTAACAATTTTGTATGGAGCCAACTTCATTTCCTTCTGTACTTGTGGCACCGAGATTTTTCGACCTCTCAATCAGCCGGAAAACAGCCACGGCCTACACTGAGGACTATCTCGGTGTACGTTTGAACTTGGTGATTCTATTAATAATTTACTCATTTGGGAGTTTTCATTCCATATTCAGGATAATGTTATGCAAATGAATCTCCCAAGTCAGCTGCTTTCCTCATGGTGTCACACTGTCGTTACAGTAGTAAAACACACTTGGCTTGGGAACAGGAACAATAGTATCGCCTCAATACACAATGACATTTGAATTTTTCCCTACTCGTATTTCTTCCCTGATTTATCGACCACATTCCCGCTCTTCATTTCTTACAGTTCTCAAAAACTCCATGTTGACCTCATGAGGCTAGTCTTTTAAAATCTTTGTAGACAAGATTTGATCTTTTTTATCCTTTTGCGTCAAAACAACAAACCAAATGGAAAAAGAAGAGCAAAAGACTCCTTAATAAACAAAGCGGTCTTCATGACGAGAATAAACACAAGGATCAAAAAGATCAAAATAATTCTAATTGTTAAGAGGAAAAACGTAACCTTTTTTCGTAAACGGTAAACAATTTAGTAATTTACCTTTTGATAAATGTAACTAAAGGATAAGCCCAGTCAATCTAGCAGTATATCTCCTGTGTAGGTACTAAAAATTGTACCAAATCCACAGGGTATAGTCCAATCCATGAGAGGGACTTCTTCAAATGATTCACTGGAAAATTATCAACAATCTGGTAGATTATAAACAAGTGCTTGCTGGGTGTTCTAAAACTAAATTAATTCCCCAGAAGCAGATACGCAGCTAAGGTAACCATGCATCAGTAGCAAGAACGCAGAAATGGAGGATGCAACAAATCAAACGCTGTAGAAACGTGTGCGAAAACATCATTTATAGGAGTGCAACAACTACAGAATAAGCATCTGAAAATGCAAGCATTTAACATCCAAAATTTTAACCAAATGGAAGGTAACTTAGAATCCACCAACCAATTTCAATTAGTCTAAGACAGTTCTACAATGACTTTAAGGTACAAAAAAGCCGAGAGAAATCTTAAGCAGTAGTCGCTGTCTGAGCAGCCAACCTCTTCTTCTGCTCCTCAATGACAGACAGCTTGATACCCTTACCCTTGGGAAGAGACACCCAAGGCTTACTACCCTTGCCAATGGTGAACACATTGCCCAGACGAGTAGCAAATTCATGACCGGTGGCATCTTGGACATGGATGGTCTCAAAGCTACCCTTATGCTTCTCTCTGTTCTTGATCACACCAACCCGACCTCTGTTTCTTCCTCCAGTAACCATGACAACATTCCCAACATCGAACTTGATGAAGTCGGTGATTTTATTGGTCTCCAAATCAAGTTTGATGGTATCATTAGCTTTGATGAGGGGATCAGGGTAACGAATAGTACGACCATCGTAAGTATTCAGGTATGGGATGCCTTTCTGTCCAAACTGGACAGACCTGACCTTGCACAACTTGAACTGCAGCAAAAAGAGAAAATAATAAGGCAAAGCATATAATGTGTACAAGAAATCCTATGTATCACAAACATAATAACAAACAAGGTACTGAAAATAAACCGGAGAAACCAGGTGGTGAAAGACCATTTAAATATGAGCAAGAAAATAAAGTGAAAACTAATCCTTTAGTCAATGCAAAGCAAACTTTGAAAAGAATGGGAAAACCCGGACCTTTGCTTCCTCATCCCGAAGAGAGTGAAGACGGAAACGGCCTTTTGTATCATACAGCAGGCGGAAGTTTTCGCCAGTCTTGGGGATGGATATAACGTCTAACAAACAGAAAGAGCACATCAGAAAAGACAACATTGTGGTAACAAAAAATTTATAGATAAAGTATATCTGAACCTCAAGTTTTTTGTCCCTGCTGCAGACAGTGATCCACTAAACAGGTAGAACAGAACACAAATTATGTAAAAAGCAAAAAATGCTCACCCATAAAGCCAGACGGGTAGGTTTTGTCAGTCCTAACTTTCCCATCAACAAGAACATGACGTTGCATTAATATAGCAATGACCTCACGGTATGTGAGGGCATACTTCAGCCTGTTCCTGAGAATAAGAAGCAGGGGAAAGCTTTCTCTGGATTTGTGAGGTCCAGATGATGGCTTAGGGGCCTGCATACATCATAGGCATAGGATCAATATTTCCAATATTATAAAACAGAAAATATCCATGTACAATTCCCATCAATACCAGAAAACAAGAAAATGCAGGTTAAAAGAGAAACTTACAAAAGCGCCACCAAGCTTGTCAAGCATCCAATGCTTGGGGGCATTGAGCCTCTTCAAATGTTTCTTCAAGCCACGAGCCTGCAACCCCAGCAAAACAGAATATGAGTAGTGATCGTTAATAAGTAATAATAGTGACAAAGAACATTAAACAAGAAACTCCATCCCCCAACTATAGCGGACACATAGTCAACAATCCAGTACAAGGTATACAGGGAAGACATATAAGGAAAGCCCCAGATGATGCAGCAACCCCAAAGATTAAAAATGATACACAAATGACAAATGTTTAGTGTCTCAAAGCTTTCATAGAATAAAAACCACAAACAAGTGGATACAAACTATAGAAAAATAGTCACAAGCAACCTGCAATACATACTCAATTCCCACAAAATCCTATCTAGCCACAAGAACACTATAAAATGCAATTCCCGGTCAACAAAATGACGACATGAATTTCAAGAAAGAAAAAGGAAGCCAAAGAACAACATTGCAACTTCTGTTTCCAAGACTGCCTATGAGTCTCCAAACCATTAAAATTATCAACTTATCATATTCAGAAAAAACGAGACAATCAGAGATTTACAGACCGGAAAAGATAAAAGTAAAACTCTCATCAGTCCGAATGAAACTGAACAGTAAAATACAGAAATTTCAAGAGCGGCTATGGTGTACCAAAGAAAGCCCATCATCCCCAAAGACGAATAGACACAATAGAGCCCTAGATTCATCAAGAGAAACCCGAAAATACAAGCTCTAACGTTAAACCCTTTCCGACCACAAAGCTTGAAAAAACGTCTACGGAAAACCATATGAATCCAACGTACATTAAGAGTCCAGAAGATGAAGAGTTCTCACCATTTTCGAATTGCTCTCTCCAAGCTAACCTGTGCTTCCCCTTCTGCGCTGCAACTTTGCCGCCGACGGACGTTCTGAAAATGAAGAGCAGATCTAAAGCCCTAGCTCTTCTCTATTTATACCCTCCCACCAGCGAGGGTTGATTAAAGTGTCTAAGAATTGTGAAATGTCTTATTAGTCCTTCATAATTCTATAATGTGATCTGTGTCCCCCAAACATTTGAAAATATGAAACTGCTACCCCAAATAAAATACTAGTAGTATAGAGAGCTTTAGAGATTAGAAATACGAAAATGTAGTAATGTCAGTCAAAGAAAAGAATAGTTTTTTAAAATTTAAAAAAAAAAAAACTTAAAAAATTTCCCGAACATATTCTACAGTCAAGGCTCTTTTTTTAAAAAAAAAATATTATATATTTATCAAATTGAACCCTTACTCAGCCTCCTCGTCTGTACTAAAACAAAAATTGAACCCTTGCTCACCAATATAATCCCATGATTTCATCGTAAAGGAAAAAAATAATGATTTTATAAAAAAAAGAATAGTTTTTTAAAATTAAAAAAAAAAACTTAAAAAATTTCCCGAACATAGACTACAGTCAAGGCTCTTTTTTTTTTTAAAAAAAAATATATTATATGTTTATCAAATTGAACCCTTACTCAGCCTCCTCGTCTGTACTAAAACAAAAATTGAACCCTTGCTCACCAATATAATCCCATGATTTCATCGTAAAGGAAAAAAATAATGATTTTATAAAAATAATTAAAAAAATACATCATGATATGCAGTTTTTTTTTCTAAAAAAATCATTAATAATTATTTCATATTTCTTTTTACATTTGGTCGATACATTTATTTTACATAAACTTTATTTTTTTTTAAAAAAAAGATGTACTTAAAGAGCAAGACCGAGTAAAAATATTAAATTACCATCATATTCTCAAATCACATGGACTTTAATTTATTAATTTATTAATAAGTTAATAAATATATAATAAAATTTTGGGAGTCCAAATGTATTAATTTATGGAGTTACTGTAAATTGCAAAAGAATACAAGTATATCTCCACTTATACTTTTTAGTAAAAACTAAAAATCATACTCCCTCCGTCCCATAATTATTATCCACTTTACTAAAAAAATTTTATCCCAAAATTATTGTCCAATTTGACTTTTATGGATCAAGTTACACATTTGTCCTTAGTAAAAAATATTATCCATAAAATTTTAGTGGTTAAGCAATTACTTATGTATGAGTATATCCGGTTGTTTAAGGTAAAATATAGTTAAGTTTGACCAAAAATAAAATCTTACATTTAGTAAAACTGAACAATAATTATGAGACGGAGGGAGTATTTTAAAAGATCGGCCTAAACCAACTAAAATTACTAATTTTTATTTTCAAGAAACCTAGTCAACTAACAAAAATTAAAACGAAAAGTCCATCGGAGAGTTTGTAGATTCACCAATAAATCTTTGTCCTTGCCACCTTACATTATCCTTTGATTCCTTTCACTCTAACCTAATCTATCATATTCAAAGTGCTTATATAAGGATCGTATCCAAGATAATGAATTAGTTAATTTATTATTGATATCAACTTAACAAATACTCCACATAAAGTTTTTTTTTTTGTTTTTTGAAAGAAATATTCATGTAAATTAGAAAGGGAAATTTTGGCTAAAGGATAGTAGAACAGGTCAAATTAATAAAACCGGTATAACCAAAAAATATTTTTTATGAAGGGCAATAACTTATTTGTCTAAATTTACAAAATAAAAAATAATTTGAATTGACAGTACTATCCTTATTATTTCTTTAAAAATATATTAAAAAAAATATGAAATCCTAATTCATTTTTAATGAATTGACAGATTAACTGGCTCCCTATGCCGGAGGTTGCCATTTTTGCGAGGTTACATTATCTGTAACACTCAAACCCCAAAACCCACATGAGTATTGGAGAAAAAGAGTAATATGGAGAACTGGTCTATCCCATATAAACGTGAGACTTGTTGAGTTTTCTTCCTAATATTCCAAGAACACCAAAACCGGCGCCATCGTCGACGAAGGTGAATTTTAATTTTTCCATTTGTGATTTGATGATGATTTTTTTTTTTTTTTTTGGAGAACTGGTCTATCCCATATAAACGTGAGACTTGTTGAGTTTTTTTCCTAATATTCCAAGAACACCAAAACCGGCGCCATCGTCGACGAAGGTGAATTTTAATTTTTCCATTTGTGATTTGATGATGATTTTTTTTTTTTTTTGGTGACTTATATTTGATAAACTTGAACCCAAATCATCATGTATCAGCATCAACAGTAAATAAAAAAAAAAAAGGAAATTTCCCAACAAAAAATGGATAAGCAAAGTAAACCCAAAAAAATGTTATTCCAAAAGAACACCAAAGATTGAACCAAAAATTTACCCAATCTCTCGTGTGCCACCATTAACAAGAGCAGTCAAGTCTGAAAGCGATCATCTTGAACTGCTCCCCCCAACCAAAAAGCCATTTTTTGCTTGTTATGGATTGAGAAGTAATCTTGAAAATTGAAACTAATACTTTGATCTAAGATCTAATATTTTGCTTCAAAAGAAATTGTCCGAATGTTTAATCTGTTAAGACAAACTTTCAAGAACCCCTGAAAGTTAGTAAACGGAAAAATAAACCAACAAGCAACGTACATACAAAAATGACTTTATGTATTTTATGATTTTATAAAATGGTAATATATAAAGGGGGTAATTATGTCAATTCAAATTCTTTTTTATTTTATAAATTTAGACAAATAAGTTATTACACTTCATAAAAAAAAAATTATCACACTTATTTTATTAATTTGACTTGTTCTACTGCCTTTTAGCCAAATTTTCTCATTTAGAAATTGAGTTACTCGCGAAAAATCATATTCATGGCATAAGTGAGTAAATTGATTAAATTTTATGGTTGCCATTTTCTTAACTCATAATAATCTATGAAGTGTGCAATAGATTAAAATTGATACACATATGAAAAGAATCAGATTTAAGGAGTTAGCAAGTAAATTAATTAATTTATTGTGATATTTTCTTAACTCACAACAAAGAGTATTTTTCTTTTTTTTTAATAAAAGATGAATTTCATTAATTTATTGGGAATCTGCCCAACATTGAAAGAGGTGTAAAGTTCATGATGGAGTCCCAATATTTTTCAAAATTTCTACTGTTCTTTGCATATTGAGTGAAGCCATGGGCGAACACATTGAACCTTCGGCCGATCTATTTGCTGCTCAATTTAGCATGGCCTTTGAATTGGTGCTTTATGTCTTTAATTATGAGGCTCGAGTCAAATAAGTCGACTTTATTGGAATTTAGGCGGTTTATCACTAATGATGAATCCCTAATAAAAGTGAAGTGAGAGCCAGTTGATGGCAAAGACAGAAGAAGATCAGTCAATTGCTGCAAAGAGGCTTAGCTTTGTTGATGGCAAAGATAGAAGAAGAGCAGCCAATTGAAGCTTGATGTGGGCATAAATTTTTGCATAGATGGTACTTTCCAAGTCTACCATATTCCAAGTTTCTTGGGCGATTTTGCAGCAGAAGAGTATGTGTCTCAAATCTTCGAAGAGTATGGTTTCGTCGACAGGGTTGCCCCGGCCGCAGATCGATGGAGCAATAATATGCATTCGGAGGAATATAATATGAGAATAGGATTCCCGGTTCGATATAGTTAATTATGAGATATTTTTTATAATTAAGGAATTATATTTCAGAGCTAATTTTATTCATACTTGACGAAGCTTGGTTTTACGCCGCCGGTCTGACAGTGGAACTCCGGCTAGGGTTTCCTGCAAAATAGAGCCTCGAGGGTCTCCCGAGGGTAGACACTCCGATACTTAAGTCAGTAAAGGGTTTTAAGAACGTCTGAATGCGTAGTATGTTAAACTTTGCGTACCCGTATTGTGGTGTGACCAACCCTATTTATAGGCATAAAAACGCCTGGGAGATAGCCGAATATTACTAGGTTTCGGGCTACCTAAACTGCCTTATCAGAGTCGGTTGAACCTCCTATGCGGTTAATGGGCCGGTCCAATGTCAGTAATGGATATGAACTCGTCAAGTGCCCCTATTAAGTGTTAGTTGCACAGGATAAACAATACTTGACACAAGATAGACTTACTTGGAATAGGCCCAACAGTAATGGACAAGACTGGTCCAGTAATATGTTAAGCAAGCCCAAGATAAACGCTTCAGACTCGACCTATGCTGCATCGAGGAAGCTTGACGCGTGACCTACTGGCCACGATCCGACCCGGGGAGGTGACCCGCTTCATAATCCCGCCCAATTTATTTAACCGCGCACCATTAGTGGACACGTTCCCCAAACGGCGGCTTCATCATCATTACGGTGTCCTTGAAATTCTCCTAAACTGTCAAAGCGTGGGCTGTAACTGCAAAAACGTGGGAGGATTAAACTCCGGCCTTAAATAACTAGAAGAGCTCTCAAAAGCTCACTTCCCTCTATTTTTTCCAAAATATTAAGGCTCCATTCTCTGCCGAAGCACCTCAGTTGCTCTTTGTCGGAATATTCACAGGCCTGATTCGACATACTGCCCCCGTAACGTTATCACCGGAAAACCTACGATTGAGGAATCAGGAGGAAACTGGGAGGCTATAACTCCAAAGGCGAGTGGTCTTTCCCCAATCCAACAGTAAGTCCTCAGATCTGATCATTTGAATTCCGTTTTAGATTTCTCCTGTTGAATTTGTAGTGTAAATCTCTATTTTACTACCAGTAGATAATCATGGCTAGAGATCCAAACCAGAAATCAGTTGACGACTTTGCATCCTCCATAGATAGTGTCGAGAGGGTAAACTCTGTTAAAGCCAAATACGACCTGCCCCTAGATCTAGAAGCTAGAGCCCCCCTAGGAAACGAGAGAGCCAATACTCCTTCAGAAGGAAAAATCACCATATATGACAGGTTTATGTTCTTAGGCATGAGATTCCTCCTTTTTCCTTTGTTCGAGGAGATCATCGATTACTATAAAATCCCCTTGGCACGCTTCACCCCGAACCTGATTACCTACGTTCTCAGA